TGTCTAGCCTTTTTGGGCTTTTAATTTTTGGTATTTTTTAAATTTAACTGTTGATTATGTTACGGAAAAGACTACGTTGTTATTGTTAAATTATTGTATCATTGTTGATGTAAAAGACAAGGACCCGTTGAGTGCAACGTGTGAAAAGACTTCCTAACTTCTTTTTCTTTTTATTTCTTTATAAATTTTTTTGGCATGAGATAAATTCAAAACCCATCAAATAAAAAAAAATGTAATTTTCAATGGTTAACGTTATTAGAACTCTGAGATCAAGTGCGAAATGACTTCTTAACTTTAAAAACACAAGTTACATCAAATGTTATAATTTACAAAAAAATATTTGAATTTCTCATAAGTTGGTCTTTTCTCTATATTAATGCAATTTTCAAAAACACGAAATTGGTGTTTCTACGAGAATTTTTACTTTTGGTTTTAGGGAATTTTACTCATTTTACTTATTTTACTTATTTTACTTATTTTATCCTCACATTTCCTTCTATTTACAAAGACCCCACTATATATAGGATTTCATTTATAACATCACCATTCCCGTTTCTTTCTCAAACAGCCTAGAATCATTGCCAGTGTTTCTTCCCCATCTTCTTGCCCATATTCTTCCTTATCCAACCAGAGAAGTAAACCAAAAATCCCTCATCCTTCTGTTTCCTGTCTTCTTTCTTCCTAAAAAACAAGAAAAAAAAAAAAATCCCTAATTCTCATTCCCCATCTTGTTCGGCTCTTCCTCATCTTCTTCAATTCCTCGTCTTTCATCGATTCTTCCCCGTCTTCTTCGGTTCTTCCCCTTCTTCTTTCTCAACCTATCTACAACCCAAAATCCCTAATTTCCCCCTAATTTTCCCAATCAACTACTATGAAGAAGAGTCAAGATCTACAAAGCCAAACCATCAAGTAAGCTGCCCTTGCTCCCCTTTATTTCTTTGGTTCTTCCCACACAAAATCCCTAATTTCCCCCCCAATTTTCCCAATCTTGATTGATTCTGTAGCAGAGTGTTCATCCATTACCACTGGAGATGAGCGCAAGGAGCTTGAGGATTTGGATCTTGCGCAATTCAACTTACTTTTCTATTTACAGAATAAACGATGAAATAGAAACCCCACCTCTTCATTTTTTTTCCATTTTATTTATTTTGGTAAAGAACTTGGAATTATGTACCACTGAAAATTTTCTGAATGCATTTTCTTGTTGCTTTGATTATTACACCTCTTTGCTTTTTTCCCAAATAAGGATGGAAATCATTGATCTTTTCAATCCTCATCTAAGTGTGGGTCGTGATATTTCCATGATGTGAAGTGATGTTTGGAATTTTATTAGCGTAGATTCTATTAATGTTGCTTGCTATAATTTGGATTGCGAACTGGTCAATTCTATGCTATTTTGACCCTTGATTTATCGACTTAGGGTGTGGAGCATGCATGTTTATTTACATTATGTGTTACTTCTTCAATAAGAAAACCATTCCTCTGTATGCTTATGTTTGTGATGGTTACATGTTTAGTCTCAATACAAGTTTCTTCTTAGACACATGCATTTAGGGTGTGGCATTTGGTGGTGGTGGGAAGGGTGTTGAGAAATTACAATGAGAGATAATTGTTAAATCCACAAATGTTGGGTATTTGATTTTCCTCCACTAGTGATAGTGGTACAACAAAATGTCCAGCTTAACCCATACAACTGTCTAGAATGTAAAACCATTTTTTTTCAATGCCACATAGATTTCTATAATGATCTAAATTATACTCTCTTTTTTCTCGATTAAGGTTACCTTATTGCTTGATTGGTTGTAGTATTTAACTTTTATGCTGCTAGGTTTCAAAATCAAGGTCCTTACTCCTCTTTAGTCATCTTAACTTTCTTTTTAGCCATTAGTGTGTTTCATGCATATAGGAGTTTTAGGTTGAAGATGTCCAAGTTTAATTCCATGGTCAGCAAATTCAGGGCTGGTTTGGTTGGTTCACATCAAGCTCTATTTGATTCAAGGATAGAGAAGGTGGGAATGTGGGATACAAAAGTTGATTCAATAATTCATGAGGTGAATGGCAAAAGTTAATAATTCTTAGTCAAAATGCCTCACTTTTATCTCATTCCTAAACTCTATTCAATGGTGATAGCAAAAGTCAACTTCCTTTTTCCTCAGCAACTTGGCAGGGGAGGAATTTCATGGGGCAGATAGGTGTTTTCTCTCCTTGATATACATAATCTTATGTTAGATGTATAACATAAGTCACTTTTTGTGTTCTTTAGAATTTGATAAGTGTTATCAAAACCAAATTATATGCATGAAGTGCCTGGGGAAGAGAGTATGGATGAAGGAATTTCTCAAAATAATTTTATTAGTACAATGGAGGATCATGACATGATTTTATTGAGATTTCATAACTCTATCTTTAATGAAAAATCAAT